AAAAAAAAAAAAAAAAAAAAGAGAGAATAGACTCATGCAGGTCCAGGTCAGCAACTCACTAATGCTGGATTCTCTCCCAGAAAACATTCAACCTATAGGGCCAAAGGTGTGGCTCAGGTTGTAATGCTTCCTCAACATTTCTGAAAGATTTTCTTTTAACATACATTTGTATATTTTATTTCATATATATATTTATTTATTTTACTTACCTTTATTTATATTTTTATGTATTTATATTCCAATACATATCATTTTGGCCAGTAAACATGTTAGATGAATGGGTACTGCTGAATTAGCAGTAGGTCCAGAATAACTGAGGTGGTTATAAACCATGGAATGTTGTGGCCCATTGTCTTCCGAAGTAGCTTATAAACTACAGAATGATCTGGCCCCAAATTCTGTGAGACATGCCTTAATATTATCTGTGATAGTTTTATCAACAGACTACCAACAGACAATTACTAATCAACAACCCAAACTCAAAAACATGACAAGTACTTAACGTGAAATAATTATTAAGAAAAAAAATATGTATCACTAAATTTACTATTCATTGCTTCTAAACACATATTTATATAATAAAGTACTTACTTCCACATTCATCTATAATATCAATAGTAGCAAATGGCAAATGTACCAGAGAATCCACTGTGTTGGCTTCAGATTCTTCTGACATTTCCCTTTTTCTTGACACATTTTCACACTCATTGGAATTTATTCCTCCTTTAACATCACAAAAAGAAAAGTATATTATTTTATTTATTTTAACTCATATCCTAAGCTAAAATAACTCAACTAACTGAACTCAATATAAATTAACATCTGTTAAGAAATGCTAAAACTGGTATTCAAATATATTGTACAGCTATTTATATAAATATTTATACCATATTCTCCATTTTTATAAATGCATTTTTATGTTAAACAGCTTTAATAATTTTCTGAAGCACAGTACTCAACTCAGGGTTAAATGAAGTTGAGTTAATCAACAAGCCTCAAGATCCTTTATAGCTGCATTTTCTTAATTCTAAAACTACAGTTTTTCACATACCTTTTAAAAACAAGCCAACAAGGTTTTGGCAGTCTTTTTCATGTTTATTTTTTAACAATATCACTTATCTGTTCTCATCTGTACAAGCTCTGACTTTTACTTTTTTCTTCATAAAGACTTTAAAATTTTTTTCTCTCCATTATTATATTAACATTGGAAATTCAAACATTAAAAATACATAGCTCTAAATACTCTTTTCTAGAAATTCAATGGTTAAAAAGCAAAAAGATCTTACAGTTTCCCAACAGCTCTCCCATGGATACATATTAATATTAGAGCCACATTTCACATTTGGTCCTTGTTTTGTTTTGTTTTTATGGGTGGAACAATCATACTCGTTGGGAGGAGGTTAAGGGAAAGAGGGTGTCTGTTCAAACTGATAGAGTCAATTGCTAAATTTATCAGTAGGTGGTCTCCTCAGTACTATTATTCTCCATGCTTTTACTGACAGACACAAATGTTGTTTGAACTAGAATTGAACAAAATCCTGGGATACTTATATAATTTCTACTCTATATATTGAGTGAAGATTAATTTACCACTAACAATATTAAAGAAGTCATTTGGGCTTCCCTGGTGGCGCAGTGGTTGGGAGTCCGCCTGCCGTTGCAGGGGGCGCAGGTTCGTGCCCTGGTCTGGGAAGATCCCACATGCCGCGGAGCGGCTGGGTCCGTGAGCCATGGCCACTGAGCCTGCGCGTCTGGAGCCTGTGCTCCGCAACGGGAGAGGCCACAACAGTGAGAGGCACACGTACCGCAAAAACAAAACAAAACAAAAAAAGAAGTCATTATTTCATTCTGCTGTAGTCCTCTATTTTCATATATCAGCCCTTAAAAAAACACACTCCATTAAAAATATGGCTTCAACATACAAGATAATAAATATCCTGATAGGTCATAGCTAACATAAACCAAAAAAAACTAAATTTTTCTTGCAATTTGGGTAATCTCTAATATTACTTACACACACACCCCTATTTTCTAGATAAAAGCAAAAAATGACAACCTTTTGTTGTTGCTTTTTGTATATCAGCTAATCATGTTCAATACCAAAAGCAAAAAAATTAATAGTACATTCTTAATAATGCTATTTATTTATATTACAGTTCAAACCTTATTGAGTATGAGTGCCTGGAATGCAGGCGTTCAACAAGTGTTAGTTTACTCTAAATCTAATCACTCACAACTATTTGAAACATGTGAGAACAAGTAAATGTTTCCTTTCTATGTTTATACTTGCACTGAAAAATACAAATACAGCTTATATTTAAACAAAAGTTTTAATAGATCAACACATATCTTTATATTTTGGGGCACATGCAGCTATGCAGAAAATATCATCACTGACCATGTTGCTTACACTTAAAAGCTAGCAACAAAGAGTATTTGTGCAGTTACAAGTGCACAAAGCTGAATGAAAATCTGGACAAAATGAAATAAACCCAACTTTTGTTTTTCTATTTTACTCTTAATCTAAGAACTTAGTAATAAATTCTAAGGATCTAATGTACAGCATGGTGACTAGAGTTAATAATACTGTACTGTATATTTGAAATTTGCTAAGCGAGATCTTAAGCATTTTCACCAAAAAAAAAAAAAAGTGAAGTGTGGATGAGTTAATTAACTTGATTGTGGCAATCATCTCACAATGTGTACTTATATCAAATCATCACGGTGTACACTTTAAATATATACAGTCTTATTTACCAATTGTACCTCAATAAAGTTGAGGAGGGGAGAAATTAGTGATATTAAATTAGACCATTTAACAGTGACATCTCAATACTAGCTCCAAAGTGCCACTTGGAAATATACTGGATTCTTGGCAATATGTGGAATGAGGAAGGAAGGCTGAATTCTATGCTCACATTTTGAAGGCAAGATGAAGAATTAAATAACATGATGAATTAAATTTAGTCATTTTTTAAATGAAAAATGTTGTTGAAACAATTAAATGTTTACCTTATCTTAACCAATTAATCAGCAACAATTAGAGAACAAGTGCTATGTGCATCACTCTGGCTATACCAAAAGGACAATCAAGCAGTGACAATGGTGATAACAGTGGTGTTTGGGTAACATGCAAGACAAGCGGGCTACTATAAAAGAAAGGGTTTGGGACTAGAAATCAGGAGACAGGGACTTCCCTGGTGGTCTACAGGTTAAGACTCTGTGCTCCCAATGCAGGGGGCCCAGGTTCAATCCCTGGCCAGGAAGTTAGATCCCATATGCCACAACTAAAGATCCCGCATGCCTCAACTAAAGATCCCGCACACGGCAACGAAGATCTCCCGGGCCACAAGTAAGACCCAGCACGGCCAAATAAATAAGTAAATATTTTTTTAAAAATCAGGTGACAGATATTCTAGTATTGGACCTGCCACTCACTTGTGATCCTGGGCAAGTCGTGTGAATTCTCTAAGCCCTAGTAGTTATCTATTAGATGACAAGGTTGTCCTAGTTGAAAAATTCTAAAGCTTGGTCATACATTAGAACCACCTGAAGAGCTTTTTTTAAATGATCAACATCTGGGTCTCACCCCAGGCCACCTAAATCAGAATCTCTGGAAATGAGGCCAGCCTCTTGTACTTCTATAAAGCCTCACAGGGTGACTCTAACGTGCAATGAAGTTTGAAAACCACTGCTCCCCTTTCACTTATTCCATACCTTGATTCTATGCCAGACTAAGAAATTATGTTAACAGTTGAGAACAATCAACTTAAAAGTAAAAATTGATTAATTTTTTACAGAAAACTGATTAATCGTCTACAGGGAAAACTTTCCTGATGACCAGCTCAGGGCTGAGTGAGGTAATCCAATCTCCTTCCACATACAATCACAGCATGAATACATCATGTTATAGATGTCCACTTACATGTCTTCTCCATTAGGCTCTAAGCTAAAGTGACCAGATAATTTACGGCCCAAACCAGGGCTCATTTGAAAAGTGAAAGGGGGAACTTTTCAAATTACACCCCTATCTGTCTGTATGGTCGCCCTACTCTAAGTTCCTTAAGTGCTATGTCTTATCCTCCTTTGATTCCTCAATGCCTAGCACAGTGTCCAACTCACAGGAGGTGCTCGATACACTTGTACGGAACAACAAAGGTAAGTACCCATTTGGGAGTGGTTAATAAATTACTCAAGCTCCATGGCCACACAGCTATCTCAGGGCTCCTAAAAATAATTCCTGGTGTTTAATGGCATCCTTAGCACATCACAGATTCATTTTCACAGGGTAAATGATATTCTATTTGACATAAAAATAAAAATTGACATCATTCCCCATCTTGTTAAATAAAGTACTTGTAAACTCTTGAAGCTTGGGATTAACATACACAGACTACTATATATAAAACAGATAACCAACAAGGACCTACTGTATAGCACAAGGAACTCTACTCAATATTCTGTAATAACCTATAAGGGTGAAGAATCTGAAAAAGAATGAATATATGTATATGTATAACTGAATTATTTTGCTGCACACCTGAAACTAACACAACATTGTAAATCAACGATATGCCAATAAAATCTTTTTTTAAAGATTTTTTTTAATTTTTAAAATAAATAAACTGAGTGCAATGGTATGTCAAAATCAACAAGCGTCTAGAACTTGAAATACAAACTTTGTTCTATTAAATTACAGAATAGTTGAAAACCTTTTTGTAGATATTAATTATTAACTCAGAAAAAAGAGAATACTACTTTCAAGTAACTCTAGAAAGAACTGCTGGCCATTCTATAGAACAATGTTTCTCAGCAGGGCTCATATCTGGAAGCCTTCCTCCAGTTCTCTAAGCCCTAGTGTTTGGGCAAAGGCTGGCAGACCTAAATTAAATACAGCCATCATAACTACACTTTGTTTTACAGAAGTGCAAATATTTTGCTTTGGGAAAACTGCCTTAAAATAACCAACCTTTAAATAAAGCATTCAAACTATAAATTCACCATTTTAAGTACTTAAAATCTGGTCTAACTATAGTTAAAATAAAATTCTATCTTTTGTACAAATCCAAATAAAAGTAACACTGCTAAACGTATTAATACTATAAAGACAGCTGAAACTGGTTAACTACTACTAGTAGTAATAACAACAGCTAACGTTTGAGCACGTTCCTATGCCAGGCACAGCTGGAAGCACTTTACAGACAGTAACTCATTTAACCATGCTATCAGGCAGTACTCTTTTTACACCCTAGCCGATTAAGTAACCTGCCTCAGGTTACAGCTAGTAGGCCTTGGGGCTAGAATTTGAATCCAGTTACTCAACGGCCAAAACCCGCCCTTTCCAGCAACATGCACTGCTGGGAAGTTCACGTACGCAGTTTACAGCACTGTAAACTGAGGCAATCCTTTCAGAAAGCAGTCAGGAACCATGAAAATTTTCTTCTTACCCCAACAGATACCAGAGAGATATCTGGGAGTCTATCATACTTGCTAAAATAGATTCACCTCAGCTCTGTTTAAACAAAAAAGAAAAAGTTTAACAACTTAAATGCCTAATAATAGGGAAATGGTTAAACAAAGGATACTCATTATAATGACAACTAAGAATAATGGCTAGGAAGACTACAACAGCTGAAAAAAGTTGGTAACAAATGCAGGATTCCCTGATATCCGAAAGCAGAGCCTTCCTACGAAAACTTTTGTAAGCCAAAATGATG